AGACTAAGAAAAGGAAAACATTGATTTTTGTTAGTTTCAGCAATGCTCCCCTTCTCCCTGCCCCAGAATTTTGAAAAAAATTAGTTTGGTTTTTATTTCTTCAGTTTTTTTCTCCTTCTAAATTACAATTTGACCACTCTAAAACCTACCCTGAATTTCAGGAAGACTGGGCTAGAGTATTGTGCATTGTCTATATATTTAAAAGATTTTTAAAAAACCCTAGATCCAGTGTCGGTCTTGATTTTAGACAGAACAGAAGCAGAGCTGACTAGCATTTTTATCTCTCCTTTCAAGCACTGGTTTTTTTTTCCTTGCTGTGCTTTGAGGGACCTTGAGACCTGCTACGCCTTGGCCACCCCACCTGTTGGCTTACCCGATGGTGGAGTTCAGAAATCCAGTGATCTCTGAGAACTGAGGCCAGTCAAGCTCATCAGTGAAAGCCATTGGGAGATTAGCAAATGATTTCTGAAAGAGAAATTTTTAAATCAACAGGGTTTCACCCGCACAGACAAAAAATTCTTTCAGCAAACTCAAGCACTTCTTAGCTGGAGCATTAGCTGGACAGCAGCAACTGTAACTATAGTTGTAGTGGTAATTATTTATGCACATACTTAAAAAGTTGATTCTTGTAAGACAGGCATCATCAAGAGACGGAGGAAGGAAAAGAAGAGATCTCTGAATCACATCTCCTGGCACCCTTTAATTCTGGAAGAGCCCAAAACTCCTCCTGACGTGGAGCACGTACTGCAGGTGCAGACCACCGAGGCGGCAGCTGTTTGCTGCAGCATCTGTCTTGTCCAAAGGTGGGTCTCCTTGGACACAGGAAGAGATGACAGCGTGATGTCCCCAGCATATATGGCAAAGGGATAACATCAAATTTACTCGAAGCTCCCTTGCCCTCTCCAGCAGGATGAACTACGAGCATCTGATCCCTTAAAAACCTCTGCCCGGTTCTCACTGCAAATTTCGGGGATGGCACTGAAGCAACAGATTCAAAAAGGCCCCTGAGCACGGCAGGGACCAGGGAGAAAAACACTTGGTCTGCCATAACCTTCCCACGCAAACAGATGCAACCTTTACCCTTCTCTGCTTTTGCTGATACTAGGCCCTAACGTTTTTTTTAAGCGACTGCCTCTGTGGAAGCCTCTATGCAGATGCAGCCATGTTGCACATTCAAAACACAGTGCCCTGTTTGTTTCCACTTTGATTTGTGAATGTGTCAAAAATCATGAAAGGCGAGAAAAATGGCCTTGAGAAATTGTGCCACCTCAGAAGGATGAGAACATGGAGTAAATTTTCAGCTTCTCCTAGTCCGGGGTACACTCGCAAAGACAAATGCATAAATCCAGTGTGCTCAACCTGAAAAACTGTTGATGAAAAAGGTAATAATCAAAAGAAGGTCAAAACATAAAATCAGAGAACTTACAGGCTGGTTTAATCTGTGTAACTTATTAGCTTCATTTTCTTTTCAAGCAACTGTGGGGTTTACTTAAACCCTCACTGCTATAAACAGCAAGCAGGTGGGTAATTCTTTCTCCAGGAGGGTCAGAGGTAACTGAGGAGCCACAGAAGAGCTAAATCTTGTGGTGCCCACCAAGTCCTCATTCCCAGAAAGTTATCAGTTAGGTGAATGGGAGTTATGCTTGAGTATATGCCTACGGGTTTTGACTGTAAGAGGATGGGGGGAGACGCAGGGAAAGGGGAGGAGAGGCGAGAAAAGGAGGGTTGGGGGGGGGGAGAAATCCTGAAGCCAAGCTCTGAGCAGCCTAATGCACAGCAGATGCCAGTTTAAAGCATGTAACAGAATATTTGACCTACTTACAGTAGATCTGCATTAGTTACCAAGGTGAAAATGGGTCTGGCTTAATTATCTTTCAGTTGATTCTCTCTCTCTCTCTGTCATATATATATGTGTCCTTATGCGTATCTGTATATACATATACATATAAAAATTATTATTTTTTTAAGACTGGAGGGAACTTCCAAATCTGCCTTCTTCAAATCTGATAGTTTTGTGCGCAAACAAACGCTTAATCCAAGGGCACAGCTAAGAGCAGAAGTGGAGGGGTACAGTATGGCTTGGCCATTTGCAATATTTGCCTCCTTGTAGCTTTGCATTAAAGGTGACAGAAATATTGAAAGCATCACTTAGCATAGAACAAACTATAGATATGATCTCTTATAAGTCACAGAATATAAGAGTATAAAAAGAGCCCAAAAAAGATTCAATATGTTTAAAACAAATCCTTCTATGACCAATTCTCTCATTATTTCCTATTGGCACTCCAAAACAATATTTTCATTGGACAAGTCCCAATAATTTGTAACTGTTTTTTTTTCTCCTGCAAACTTAGCTTAAATATGAATTAGCCAGAACCTAATTGAGTTGCAAATTGGTTTGGAAAGGAACATTTGAGCCCAGAATTATAGCTGCATTTGAAAACTGTATATACGTTTAGCATTGACACAGTTCCAGCAAAGCACTTAAAGCCAGACTTTTGAAGATATTTCAGGACCGAAGGATGAAGATGAGTAATTAATGGAAATTTCAGAAGAATGCTAGACCTTAAACTCTGCAGCGATGTAGTTTGAAAAGCATGGTCTAACAGACTGCATTTCACTTAGTCTCAGATGCAAATGTGTCCCTCTCTAGAGGTGGATCTATGTTGACTTTTAGCTTAAAACTCTTCTGAGCACAGCCTTGTTTAAATACCATTCTCTAGACTATTCTGGCTGAGAAACCATGCTTCAGCCTACGTGCCAGATTTTAGCAGAGAACGATTAGAAAGTTATTCCAGCCTAGCTTCAAATGCCGTATTTTAGCCTCAAATGCTCTAGATGGATCTCATTTTGAAGGAATATCCTCACCTCCTAGATGTGTCCTATCTTGAAATATGGGGCAGCCAAAGCCATGGCTGATGCTAAATGCACATACGCCAAGCTGCGCTTAAATGGAAGAAGGTTCAGGGTTGCTATGGCAAGAGATTTTCAAAATCAGAACACAAAAGGGCATTGGAAACCTAATGCTCATATGAGCCTTTAGAAATGGCAGTCTCAGAAATCCTGAAAGCACTAAAGTATCCCTTAATTTGAAGGGGAATTGGGTATTTCTTTTTATACTGACTTTAATGCTGTTCAAATTCTCGTGATAGCATTGAGTACCACAGACAACTTTCTCATTCTAAGTATACAAATAAGCAAGCCTTAGAGCTCTTGAGGAAAGCACAGCCTATCTTTTTTAAAAGCATGTATGGTATTTCCACTCCGTAAAGCTGCAAGGGACATAAGTTTGAAATTAGCAAAATTATTACCTTCTTTCCTCCAAAATGCAGCATCTTAGTCATCACAATACTAGCAGGGAGAAACTTGCCTGCAATTCACTGGATTTAGAGGAAAACCAGAGAATGTTCTTAATAAGATTTTCACAGATCAAACTCCTGTTTTCTCTAGTGGTGCAGAAAAATAAGTCAGTGGGATAAGTGTTCGGGACATCCTGAACCCGTTTAAAGAAATGCTGAATTCTTTTAATAGGAAATATATAGTATGAAACAGTTACTTTAATCAAACCTGAGAACCCCTTGAGTTTGTGGGCAAATAGATATTTACAGGATTACAGATAGATGTGGGGTTTATTTTTCTTGTTATTCAGCATGAAATAGAGATCCAAGAGTTTTAAAATGCATCTTCCTAGAAAGGGCATCATTTCCAGCACATTTATAAATACAGTGCTTTTATCTCCAGATAAAATTGTCTCTAAAATGAGATTTAAAAGTAAGCTTCTATCCCAGACATATAACAGAAAAATGCTGCATTTAGTAGCTATTTGGATGTCAATTGTAAGCAGATGGACAGAGCAGCAGGAGCACAATATCCATCGCTAGACATACCAGTGTTTTCAACATTAGCTTTCCGCAAAAACCATCCACCTCAAAAAACCCCCCAGTATTTCTTCTGCTTTGCTAAACCTCATAAAATGCATATCTACTGCGTCACACTTCATTTTTAGCGTCTGAATTTTCAGGTCAAAGGAATGAACATTCAAGTCAACTCTTGCTGAACCTTTTAAAAGAAGAAAAGTCTGGCAAACCCAAAACCTATTGACAAGCAGAAAGCCAAAATAAAGTTGACTCATCCTCTTCTTACAGCTTACATAATTCTCTTCCTGTAATTGTACTCTGGGTGTTTGGGGATTTACTGGAGTGACGGCAGGTTAAGGACAGAGCCACGTGCTCGGCTGCCTCTGCAGGAACATGAAGGCAGATATCCTCAGTGGTGGTCCCAACATCATTTTCTCAGTGTTTCTGCACCTCAGCTAGGTCCCTGTAGGGTAGACTTTGGGACTCAGCAGTACCAGGTTGGTCAAAAACTTCAAAAACGAGGTACCTGCAACTTTCCCTAGTGCCACATAGGGTGGGGTGATTTTTTGTTGTTTTGGGGTTTTTTTAACTGGAAAAATAACATGCCTGAGCTATAGCTTTCAAAGATGTGTCCACCTTGTGATGGACATTTTCTACACCAAGTAGTGTCTCTGTACGCTCTTTGTGGGAAGAACATACCCTAAGAGGGATGATAACTGTATTTGAGACTGGCTTCTAGGCAAAGGCTTTGGAAATACCACTGGAAAACATGAGTCCCCACTCTGATATAGTGCACGTCTCAAGCTTGGTGACAGCCGAAATGGGCTGGGAGTGCCTACAGTTGCATCAGTGTGGGCAGGCTGATGCTCAGGTGCTTGCAAGTTCCCCTCCCCAAAACAGCCTCCTTGATGAATGCAAGAACATGATTCAGGTCTCTGCATTTGGTCACTTAGGTTTAAGAAAACAGGAAGACCAGGAATCATAGAATCATAGAATAGAATAGAA